CAGAGGTGCTTTAAAATAATGCCAAAGCCAGCAGGGCTCACTTGAGTTCTTAGGTCAAGTTTTATAGCTGTTTGGTTACTTTTAACCCTATCAGGAACTTTCCAGCCCTTTATAAATCCTCACTAGGACCAAGAAAGAACAAAACCATTTCCTGAAGGATTCAGTGGAACTGGAGATCCCCTCCCAGCAGTCTAAGCTCTCCTTGGTCCAGTCTCACCTTGTTTCCTACCAAACTTCCAGCCAAACAACCTGCCTGCTGTTCTGAGTCCTTGCCTGTTTGTATCATCCCCCTCTACCCTTCTCTAGCTCCTGAAACCCTATCATTTCTGCAAGACCCAAGCCAACCAACTAACCAACCAACCAACCAAATCTACTGCCATTGGGTTGAGTCTGACTCACAGTGACCTTAAAGGACAGAACTGCCCCATGGGATTTCCAAGGCTGTAAATCTTTACAGAAGTATACTGCCTCATCTTTCTCCTGCAGAGCAACTGGTGAGTGTGAACTGTTGACCTTTTCGTTAACAGCCCAATGCTTTACCCACTGCACCACCAGAGCTCCTTCTGCAAGGCCCAACACATACCAGCTCCTCCACAAAGCCATCCCAACTGCGTCTGTCCAAGTTCTCTGTGCCTCTCAAATGCCTTGCCTTCCCCCACCTTTCCTGCTATGTGCTTCTCGGCACTCTGGACTGTGAGCTCATGCTCAAGCCCTGCAACACCTGCAGGTGGGTCAATGGTGATGTACACCTCCACTTGGACATGAAGACCAAGTGCTCCATGATCCCCACCTCTGCCCTGGGCATGATGCATTCCAGGGTTACAGAGCTTGCAAAGTACAACTGTAATGTGTAATAATCTTAAAACAGGAAAAAAAAAATGTACATGTCTCAAAAGAGAATAAAATATTCTCATAAAAACTGGGAAAAAGTTAACAATGACAAAAAATGATTCTCTAAGACATAAAGCCACCACCCACCTGTCCATTTGTTGTACTGTAGTAGCCTGCATGTTGTTGTGATGCTATGAGCTATGTCTGTGGTATTTCAATTACCAGCATGGACACCCATGATGGACAGGTTTCAGCAGACTAACAGACTAGGAAGAAAGGCCTGGTGATCTACTTCCAAATATTAGCCAATGAAAAACCTGAGTAATCAAAACAACATTTTCAGGCTTGCTTGCTTTGGACCCATTCTCAGGAGGGCTCAATCACTGGGTGAGGAGACCATGTGTGGTGATGCAGAGGGCCAGCAAGGGCAAAGGAAACCCTTAGTGGGATGTACTGGCATCATAGCCACAATGGTGGGGCTTGAATATACTGCTGATTGTGAGGCCGACAGTTCCCTCTGCTGTACGTGAAGTTTCCGTGAGTTGGAGTCAACCTGAAGGCAGCTAACAGCAACCATGTTATAAGGCCGACGGCAGTGCTTCCCTGACACAAGCTCCTGAGCACAGGGCCCGGAGGCCTGAGAGTCTCTGGGGTGTGGCCACCTTTTGGCTTGTTTCAGGTCATGAGACCTTTGGTCTAAATTCCTGTGAAATGCTGTTGACGGAGATTATATACAGTCTTAAATCCCGGTCTTGCTATTCCTTGTACATTGAAATTAAATTAGAATTATTTAACTATTGAGTAAGTGAATTAAAATTAAAAAGACCTATAATTTTTCTATCTCAACTTTTTGTCCAGCAATCAAAGATCACAAGTATAACTTTTATACATTACCAAGGACCAAAGTTGGGGCTGACTTACACACCTGAAAAGATACAGGACTTGGCTACCAGGGCTTTTTGTTAAAGGATGGGTTCCAGGGTTCCACTGCTCCCATCCACATTTAAGGTCCTTTGTGGCCTGATTCCCAGAGCTCACCAGCACGCCCAGCACAAAGAGATGGCATTACTGTCAGGGAGTCCCAGTGAAAGCCCCTGGGAAGCTGGGATAATAACCCAAAAGGGCCAGAATGATGGCCCCCAGCATCTTTCGTGGTGGTACTAGGTGGGCAGGGACCCTGCCAGGTGCCAAAGACAGGGCTCTGAGCTAATCAAGGACAGCTAATCAAGCCGCCTGTTAAGCTGACAAATGGGTCTCACAGGCCCAGTCTCATTGACAATGAGGCCAGATTATGAGTATCAGCTAGGAAATATTTCAGCAGCATATTTAAAATAAAGCAAAAATGTAAAAACTGACCAAATTTCAGACATACATTATTTCTTCCTTGGTTCCACAGGGCAAAACACTGCAGCACTAAGAGAGACTATGCATTTCCCATTTCCACATGTCTGGTGTTCTTTGTGGAAAGGAGGAGCTGCATTCCTGTGGGAGGCAGACCTTTCTTGCTGATGGAAGCCTAACCCAGGGGCTCCTGTGGACTCTGGCAGGGGCTTGGAGGAGGCTTCAGGTCACAGTGCCTGATGCTGTAGCCATCCAGCATGTCTTCCTGGGGGACGCCATTGAGGCAGGGGTCCTTGCCCACTCTGGTGTTGTCCCCCATGCCTGTTTTCTCTAGTGTGGCCTGAAGAAGTTCTCGAATTCTTCTGTTTTCCTTGGAGGTAGACTCCCAAACAATTTCAAGCTCCTCTTCCATTTCTCTGAGAGAAATAAACAGAACAAAGGGACAGTTTAAAATAGTACAATTTTAAAAGAACTCTTATGAATCCTAAAGTAGCAAGAACTCAAATAAAAGAACGCTTAACATCCAAGTACAGAACTCACTATGCTTGAGTCCTGAAGCAAAAACTTTCCAAGTTAGGTGGAACACCAAAGTCTTCCTGGATATACAAAATGACAGTAGAAAAACTGAAGACACAGGTAAAAAACTATTTCTTACCTCTTCTCTCTTAAGTTCTAACTTTTCCTTTATTATTTTTTTAAGAATACTCATATTCCTTGTCCTCCTTATTATAACAGGCAATAATCAGAGTGCTTGACCTAAGCCAGCCAGACACTGCACAATGGCATGGTTGTGGGTACCCACCCAGCAAGGGCCCTATAGGCTCACTCTCTCAAGTCTCCTTTGCCTATACTGTGACCTGCCAACGCTCTGTGCCTTTTTGTAGGTGACCATCTACATGGTCTGATGAGTCCAGACATAAAGGGTGAGTTAGGGGGCAGGGTGAAGATCTTGAGGAAATGGAAAGTGGGGCTTGTAACCGAAGACACCGAGAAGAGTGGCCTTGACCACGTACCAGGAGGGTGAGTGCTCAGAGTGAGCCAAAGCCTGTGAGAAATGAAAAACGCAGCTAAGCAGTATTTTCTGAGAACAGCTCTGTGCCAGCCACCATGTGGGATGCTGGGGAATCAGGGGTGGACAAAAGTATCCATCTCCTTACAGGACCATGGTCCACTGGGGGAACAGATCAGAACACCGGCCCCCATTTCACAGAACAGTGAGCCCCATGGAGCAGCGCAGAGAAGAGAACAGCAGGCTTGAACAGAAGAGAAGAAATGAGTGTTGTCCAGAGTGGTGGGAAAACCAGCTCTTTCACAGACATTGCCAGATGATTCTGGAAAACATTAGCAACCAAATGAGCAAGCAGACTTAGGAGTCATACTTAAAGAGGAGGACACTGAGGCACAGGGGGGCCAGTGACCTGCATACTTGTCCACGGTCACTTCTCTTGTGAACTGTGAACAGGGTGTGAGAAAGCCCAGGGCCCATTGAGTGTCAAGCACGGTTTAGTTATACTATGTCTAAAAAGCCCCAGATTTGTTTCTGGCACCAGACACCAAAATGTTCGATAAATTATAGAAATATGTTTAAATGTATGGCTAAACTCATGATAAAGAACAGGAAATTCCTAAGAGCAGAAAAAAACATGAAGACTAAGCTGAAACCACAGAGTTAGGCAAACAAAATGTTGGTGTTGATCTAAGAACAAAAGCCAATGTCGGAAACCCAGAGTTTTTTGGAATGAAGACTAAGTCTTGGGTCCATGCAAACTGACTCTTGCACAAAATCCAAGGGCTCCTCATATTTGTACTTCTCCTCCTTAGAAACACTCTGAGTGGTATGTCCCAGCACTAGGAAGGTAAGTGCAAGAACATGAAGGACTCTTGGAGAGAGGATGAGTGGTGGAAAAATCTTCAGTTTTTCAAAACAAACCTGCTCTAAGAGGCTACCAAGAGTCTCCTTGGAGACTGTAGCCAATGGACTGTTCTCACATGGAGTTTCAATCTACACCACTCTTTACAATCAGGAATCCTAGGCCCTGACTGCAGTAAACCAAGAGTAAAAAGATGTTTTTTTAGACCACCAGGGAAAAAACTTAACAATGAGTTAAACAGCACATTCAACAAAGCTGAAGAGAGAAATTAGTGAGCCAGAACATGAGAAGAAATTACCCAGAATGGAGACAAAAAAAATATATTAGAGATATTAAAGGGCTGTTTTTAAGTGTATTGATGACATTACATTTTTGTATTTTTCCCAAAATCCTTTAGTTTTTTTAAAGCAGGACTGGGCAGTGTTTCCTTCTGTTGCACATAGGGTCACTGTGAGTTGCAGCCAACTTGATGGCACCTAACAACAACAACAACATAGTCTATCAAAGTGGCTCCAGATTAGAAATGTTCTTTGGCAACTTGGGGAAAAAAAATCCTCAATCCAAACCTCCAAGATTGTATGGATTGAATTCATCCAAATACGGTTCATAAGAAATTACTGTGTAAAGATGTATGAGGAAATAAGCAAAACAGAGCAAGAGTCAACAAAACAAGATTTATCAGTGGCATAATGCCTAAGGCACTTGACTGCTAACCAGAAGGCTGGAGGTTCAAACCCACCCACCACTCCTTGAAAGGAAGACTGGGCAATCTACTTTCGTAGAGACACCACCTTAGAAACCCAAGGAGGGGTCACTATGAGTTGGGATCGACTCCACGGCAGGAAGTTTGGGGTTTTTTTTAGTTTAGAATATAAAATAGCTGAGAATGAAACAGTAAAAGAACTAAACAAGGTATCGAGCATAAGCAAAGACTAAGAATTTATTTTGAAAAATGACTAGGTTGATTTTCACAAGAACCAAACAGAACTTCTAAAATTGAAAAATACAGTTGCTGAAATAAAAAAACCCAGTGGCTGGGTTAAATAGCACACTAAAGACAGCTCAAGAGATAGTCGGTAGATAGGAATATTGAGCAGAAAAAGTATCCTGAATGCAGACCAGAAAAACAAAACTATAGGAGTCAATGAGAAGGTATAATCTAAGTTCCAGAAGAAAATTCAAAAAGAATGGGGAAAAAGATGTATTTTAAGAGAGAGTACTAGAGATTTTTCTAGAACATAATGAAAGACATAAAATCACAGACACAGAACATACTTATACCAAGTACTAAAAATAAAAAGAAATTCATAGTTAGACATGCAGAATATGATACAGAGATGTTAAAAGCAGCCAGAAAGACAGAGTACCTATTTTCAAAAAATGAGAGAAGACTTCTCCACAACCATAATGAAATCCAGAACAGTGAAATGTGCTGAGAAGAAATGATTGTCAAGGTAGAATTCCGAAATTAGCAGAAATTGTCTTTCAATGATGAAGGCAAAATGCAGACATTTTTACTTAAACATAAACTGAAAAATCTTACTCTCAATAAAATCTCACTAAAGCAACTTATAAAGGAAATACTTCAGGAAGAAGAAAAATAAGCTGAAAAATAGGATCTGAGAAGCAAGAAAGAAAAGCAAGGAAAGTGACAAATTGTGGGTGGGTAAATCAAAATAGACAACTATACAAAAACAACTGCTGTTATTGGGTGCCGTCAAGTCAGGTTTGACTCATAGCAACCCAATGTACAACAGAAGGAAATGCTGCCTGGTCCTGCATCAAATTCACAATTGATACGCTTCAGTTTCGTGACACTAATTGCAATCCCCACAATGTAACAGCTCTCTTCCCACTGAAGGTTAAGCCACAAGAGTTCAATTCCAGGCCCAAAGAGTGACTAGAGGGATTTTACCAGTTTCTACCAGACCAGTAAGCATGATCTTTTTTTTTTTTTTTTTAAGCGTTTTATTGAAATACAATTTATGTACAGTGAAATACACAAACCTCAAGTGACATGAGTCAATGCATTTTTGTTGTTGTTGCAGTGTTTCCTTCCCTCCCCTCCCACCCCTGGTAAAAAACAAACAAAGTTTCTTTCCATATATAAACATTTCCTTGACAAATATATAATACTATATTTGTCCTTCTGTGACTGACTTATTTCACTCAGCATAATTTCCTCCAAGTTCATCCATGTTATATGGTGTTTTGTAGATTCTAT